CTGTGGCTCAAGTGGTAGAGTGCTAGCCTTGAGCTGAAGAGCTGAGGGACAGAGCCCAGGCCCAGAGTTCAGGCCCCACGACCAGACCCCCAAAAAAGAAACTAGCTACTTAGGAGGCTGAGATCTGGAGGCCTGTTGACATAGAATTAGCCTAGGCAGAAAAGTCTTCAAAACTCTATCTCCAATTAACCAGCAAAAGCTGGCATGAGTAAAGTGAAAGAATGACAGTCATGATCAAGAAAGCCAAGTCATACAGTATTTTCACAATAAAAAAAATTAATTAATTAAAAAAAAGAAAGCCAAGTCAGAGTTTGAATCATGGAGCCAGCAAGCAAACAAAAAGAATGCACAGAAAGTGGTATCAGAGAATACCTGCATCTCAATCTTGGCTGGTCACTTGTTTTCAATTTCATTTTACTGGGGGCTGGGAAGGTGGCTCAGTGGTAGAGTACTTGCCTTGCATGCAGAAGGCCCTGGGTTTGATTCCTCAGCACCACATAAGCAGAAAAAAAAAAGCTGGAAGTGGCGCTGTGGCTCAAGTGGTAGAGTGCTAGGCTTGAGCTGAAGAGCTGAGGGACAGTGCCCAGGCCCAGAGTTCAGGCCCCACGACTGGACTCCCCAATTTCATTGAACTTATCATTTCTGCATCATCAGTAAAACAAACTAAAACAGAATCTATCACAAAGGATTGTGCTAAACATTAAATAATCAAATATAAATCACTCAAAACAACGTTTAGCACACAGCAAAAAACTCAGTATTAGTTACTTCGGTTACTTTATAAGAAAATCTACCCCAGACTGTGCAGCCTAACTCCCCAATCAGGGCAGCTCTGAGACCTGCAGCTTTAATCCAGGAACTCAGGGCTTATTTTTCTGATTAAAGAGAATAAATATGTCATGCTTCCGTAAGGTATATTAATTAGATAGGTTTCATTAGGTAGCCAATGAAGAGACCACACGGTTTTCAGGCAGGAAAAGAAATTTATTTACAGAACTGTTCCTCCCCCAGCCCCCCATGCATGGTGGAGAGGCCTGGCCCACCCCTGGGCCAGGGCTTGTCAAGGCCAGGGATGGGAAGAGATGTGGCCACACTGGATCTGATGTGACCTCAGGGCCTGGGACCCTCCTACAGTCAAGTGGGAGGCTGACTGGGGCCAGCCAAGGATGTGATCTCTCAGGAGGAGGAGGTGACTGCTCCCAGGTGTGCCAGTTACCTAGGTAACACAGATATTGGGTAGAAACTTAGCCAAGGGGTAGGGAGGTGTCTGCACAGGGCCTGCCTGGCTCAGGGCAGACTTTACAGCTGTTAGTCTTAAAAAATAAGATAATGAAATAAGATAAAAATTGTCATTAATAATAACGCATTGTAAAAGATTTTTATTTTTTATTTTTATTTTTTTATTGTGAAAATACTGTATAGAGTGGTTACAATTACATCCGCAAAATAATGAGTACATTTCTTATCAAACATTGTTGCCTCCTCCTTTGTTTCCCCTTCCCATCACTTCTCATCACCCCCACCCCCCACCCTCCGCCAAAGTTGTAAAGTTTGTTTTTCGACATAAAGTCTTGTACATCTCATTGTTGCAATGGGTCTACCTGTATCCCTATTTAAACGATTTGTTTTTTCCCTTCCCCTCCACAAATTATACCAACATCAAATACAGTGAAAGCAGGGTTTATACCGTGGGGGAGGGACATACAAAGCAACAAAAAATCATCTTATAAATATATTTGAA